TGGGAACAGTGGGCCCAGGAAGCAGGGTTTTATCTGGGGAGGCCAGATGGCTAATGGAAGGCAGAGGGGTAGCGGTCCGAGGGAGCAGCAGTCTTGGAATGAGCACGGGGAAGACACCGCCCTCTCCAGCAGGACCGAAGCCCTGCCTGGCCCAGGCGGGAGCTCTCCTCTGTGGCTCGGAGCTCCCCACCCTGCCAGCAGCTTGCGTTCTGCTTTGATGATCTTTCTCAGAAAGGAGGAAGGCTGGGCCACTGGGTGTGGCCTCTGACTTCCTATGGCTGCCCTGATGCTGGCCACACTCTGAATTTGGTGCGCCGTTGCTTCAGCGCCTTGTCCTGGCCTTTGGCACAGGCCAGGTCCCCGGGCTGTGGTCCAGGTGGCATCACTGCCCTCCTCCATGGGTATCCAGCCTCAAAACCACACACGGGAGTGAGGTGAACGCTGTTGGCCTGCCTGCAGCCTGCAGGGCAAGGCTGCCTCCTCTCTAGCTTCTGGGTGACTGGGTGGCTTGAGGCCTCTCCAGGAGGACCTCACCCAGAAGGGAGCCAGAGCTGGTCTTCGCAGCACAGCCTTGCCTGGGAACATACCCTTCTTTGTGACCTGGCTTAGCTCCCACCCCTGCAGGCCACCTGCCCCACCAAAGAGCCTCTTCTTCCTTAAATACCTTGGTTGCCTTTGCCTGGATGCTCCAGAAGAAGAGGACCAGCTAAGCCTTGCCCTGTGTGCATTCATACACGCCCCTCGGGTAGGTTTTGCACAAAAAAATAATTTGGAGATGACCGCTGTCATCCTACTCCCCATCCCCACCTTCAAGTCCAGACTGAAGTCGCTGACCTGTGTGGGCCTGGCGTCAGCGTCACTGGCCAGGTGGTAACCTTCAGTTACCCGGTTCAGTCGCTTTGTTACAGGCACCCACTCATCTTCTCCAAGTAAACCGTGAGCGCAGTGACAGCAGGGACAAGGCAGCTGACATGTCTCAAGGGCAAATCTTGAGACACTCAGCCACATCATCTCATGTAATCTTTCTGAGCATCAGACCAGGTTGTTGTTAAGTGGGGTTCCAACCTTGAAGGTCAGAGAAGTAAGACACTTGTGGTGTTACGCATTGGGAAAGTGACGGAGCTGGGGTTTGAACCCAGGCATTTCTGTCACCCCAAACCATGACCTTTCCCCCGTTCTGTCTGGTTCCTAGCCCATTTGGAGATGGATGATAAAGAACCCCTGTCTCTGTTGGTTCTTCCATTCTTGGCTCTTGTCCTGCATCTTCCACTCTTTCACTCTAGGCTGAGGTCCCTGGAAGTCCCTAGTTTTGGAGCCAACTCAAGGAACCTCACTGGGACACTGACTGGAGCAGAGCCAATCAGAGGAGGAGTATGCCCCTGCATAGGGCTGGTGGAGGGTGGTGGTGTTCTCTTTGGTGTTTTGGAGTAATGTTGTCACATCACTCTAGAAACGGCATCACCCTTGGTTTACCAGCTGTGGCTGAGAGGAGAGGGCGGTGATCAGATGTGAGTAAGGTTGAAAATCTTGGTGCTTTCTTGAGGGGAAGAAAAGTGACTGTGCATGGCTTTAAGCGCCACCCCCTGTTTTCATCCTGGAGAGAAGAAGCCTGAACCGCATTGTATTTCTTCTTGGCCAGAGATGAGCCTTCTTCATTTCAAACGTCCGTATCCCTTGCCTGCTCCTCAAGGGCAGCTGTTCAGGATGAAGACGAGAGATGCCCCTAGAGTTTTGAGAGACTTGTGATGGGAAGGAAAGGTCTTACCCTGTGGCTCCAAAAAAATATATGTTTGAAAGTCCCCAGTGATACAGATTACACAGAGGTTAAATGTATGATTCCTTTGGGGTTCTGATAGTTCTTAAAATGTGCTTAAAGAAAAAAAATGACACCTTTAAAAAGCAAAACCCATTTGTTCTCAGGGCTGCAAAACTGAGAAAGATGGAAGCCTCCCTCGGAACGAACGAAAATTGCAGGCTGTTTGTGCAAATGGGCAACACCTTGGGCTGGTTACACATTTGTGACTTTGTCCTGGGGGCTGTATTCAGCAAGTGTGTGGTCTCTGTTGGGGCTGCTGTCATCACGTGGTAGGACACCCCTGGCAGGTCACTAAGAGTATTCCTGTGTGGCTCTCTCTGGAGCAGCCCCTCCGCCTGGTAAGGTACACAGGGCAGACATCGCGCCCATTTGATAGATGAGCAAGCTGAGGCCAGGTGGGATTGAGTGATTTGGGGCTGTGTGATGTCTTGGAAGCACCTTCCTTCTCTTTTCTGGTGTGTGATTCCTCTCCTGATGAGGTTAGATTGGACTCTAGGGACCAGGGGGGGTCTTCTTGTTTCATCTTTGTTGGTGCCAAAGCTTTGTGGTTATTGAGAAGGGAAGAGCTGCATGTGTTCCACCTGCTCAGAGGTTCTTCTCTCCCACCGTCCTTCTCTTTAACCAACATGTGTTAGGAGTCCCCCACTGCAGAGGCTGGGCTGGAGCCCTGCCCTCCAGCTCTGCAACTCTGAATTCTGAGCTGGGAATGGAGATGAACCATAGTTCATGGACAGAGGAGACGGAAGAAGGGGCACAGGTGGACGAGGATGCTTGTGGCTGAGCCAAGTAAGAGGGACGGTCTTCCAAAGCCCCGAGTCCCTGGGTGTGCCACTCTGTGAAGCTTGCCTTTGGTTTGCTTTTGTTTCTGCAGTTACCCCACTTCCCAAAGCCATGTTCTGAGATGCCCGTGTGGCCTTGGCACATACCACCCATCACGGTGGTTCTTATTGGGTGGGGGTTGAATCCATAGCATCTCCACTTTGAACTGCACAGCAGATGGCCCTCTTGGGTTCTGCATTTCGCCATGGGGTTCACTGAGATGTGGAGAAGTGAAATGGCATCCCCGAGGCCACGTGCTCATTGGCGATGATAGAGTCAGGCTCAGGGCCAAATCAAGGGGTCTGTGTGTTTTCCTCATCCTCCCCAGACCCTCTGAGGCCCCGAAGAATGGGAGCTTTTCCTCCCTTTCAGGAAGGAGGCCATCTCTCTGCTGGAACTGGTGTTTTTTACCTTTCTCTCAGTCTCTCTGGGGTTGATGTTGAAAATATTCATGTATTTGCAATCAGGATGCACGGTGCCAGGGTCCGGGACTCTCCCAGCTGTGCCAGGCGTGAACCCTGCACTTTGTGGCGTTCGAGGGGTGGTGGGGAGACTTCCCAGGTGGTTCAGTGGTAAAGAGTCTGCCAGTGCAGTAGATGCAGGAGATGCAAGTTCGATCCCTGGTACAGAAAGATCTCCTGGAGGAGGAAGTGGCTACCCACTCCATTATTCTTGCCTGGAAATTTCCATGGACAGAGGAGCCTGGTGGGCTATGGTCCATGAGGTTGCAAAGAGTCAGACGCGACTGAGCAACTGAGGACACACGCAGGGGTAGGGGGATGTGGCCCAGGAGACAGGTCCAGCTGGTAGAACAGGAGCTGTCCTCTTGGGAAGCTGCTTTTTATCCACTGCTGTGAACACTTCTCTTTTATTTTAACTTGATTGCACGATGGGTGATTTCCTGAAGGACACTGGGCCTGGTCTCCCTGGGCACATTTTATTAACCATCTTCCAGGCAGAGGCAAGATAGAATCTTCCCCTTCGTTTTCCTGAGGCAAGTTGCAATCGTACTACTTTGTATTAGTATTCTTTTTCTCAATTTCAGTCTTTTAAAGTAATAACTATGTATTTTTTTAAAAAACAGACTTCAGATAAGAGTAAGTCCAAATTGCATCACTCTCGGGGACGTGATTTGAAATCATCCTCCTGTGAGACTGTAGAGTACAGTCCAGGGGGCCAGAGGTCTCTGCAGCCTGTCTGCCACCCTGGGTCCTGGCTCTCCACCTCCCGGCTGTGTGGCATGAGGCGCTGTGATTCATCTGCTCATCTGCATTCGTGGCTGTGAATGCACTGTGTTAGTTTTCTATGGCCGCTCTAACAAATGCAACACAGATTCATTGTCATGCACTCAGCATAGCTCCGAAGTCTGACTCAGGTCTCACCGGGCTGAGGTTAAGGTGTGTGCTCCTTCCTGGAGGCTGTAGGGGAGGGGGGATTTCCTTACTCTGGTTGGCTGTGGCAGAATTCAGTTCCTTGCAGTTGTAGGACTGAGATCCCCCGTTGTCTTGCTGCCTGTCAGCTGAGCACTGTATCTAAAAAGCACTGTTTTTTAGGAGCTGCCCACACTCCTTGGCTGGTGACCTTCTCCATGGTGAGACCTAGCAGTGGTGGGCCAGTCCCTCTCATGCTTCCAATCTATTCTTCTTGTTGCTTCTCATCTCTCTGATCCCAGCAGGGAAAGTTTCTTTGATTTTAGGGACTGTTATGATTAGATTAGCTCCCTGTCCTCCTAATAATCTGGAATAATCCCTACCTAAAGGCACAAGGCACTTAACCTGAATCACATCTGTAAAGTTCCCTTTATCATAGGAGGTAGCATCCATATTTTGTTATTGTTCAGTCGATAAAGTCACGTCTGACTCTTTGGGACCTCATGGACTGGAGCACCCCGGGCTTCCCTGTTCCAGGCTTCCCTGTCCTTCACTATCTCCTGAAGTTTGCACAGATTCGTGTCCATTGAATTGGTGATGCTGTCTAACCATCTCATCCTCTGCTGCTCCCTTCTCCTCCTGCCTTCAGTCTTTCCCTGCATCAGGGTCTTTTCCAGTGAGTCAGTTCTTCACATCAGGCGGCCAAAGTACTGGAGCTTCAGCTTCAGCATCAGTCCTTCCAATGAGTATTCAGGGTTGATTTCCTTTTGGATTGACAGGTTTGATCTCCTTGCAGTCCAATGGATTCTCAAGAGTCTTCTCCAACACCACAATTTGAAAGCATCAATTCTTCGGCACTCAGCCTACTTTATGGTCTAACTCTCACATCTGTACTATGACTACTGGGAAAACCATAGCTTTGACTGTATGGATCTTTGTCAGCAAAGTGATGTCTCTGCTTTTAAATTCCAGACAACAGCCTACCGTGGCATGAATCATTGTTTACACCATTCCAGGAGACAGGAATAGTGGAACCCTGGCAGCGAGATTCTTCCAACAGAGCCTTAACGTCCAGATGGCTGTGAACCTTCACACCACGGTAGGCTATTGTAATAGCTTTTCTTCCAAGGAGCAAGTGTCTTTTAGTTTCATGGCTGCAGTCTCTGTCCTCAGCCCTGAGAATGTGAACCTCTCTGTTTTTGGAAGGCAGGGGCAATTATTCTGCCCACCATACTTCATAAAACTTGCTGTGAGAATCAAGTTAATTGATACATGAAAAGTGCTTAAAGTATTAGGTTAAATCCTATGAAATTGCTCCAATTCAACTGCTCCCTACAAGAAGTCAATCTAATTATATCTGTCATTATTCTAGTGGTGGAAATGTCATGCTTTATTTAACCAGTTTGCTGCTGTTCTGGTTTCCTATGGTCATGCATTCCTTTCTCAAGTGAGTTGTTATTATTTTGGTACGGTAATGTCCATGTGCACATCCTGACACATCTCCATTATCATGTCTTTCACAAATTAGGGACAGCTCATCTGAGGAGTGCCTGTTTCCTCTTTGCCATCCTTCTTCACCACCCCATGCTCAGCTCACAGCCCTGCACCCACTTCTGCTGGCCTGGAAGTATCCCTTTTTTTTGCCTGGCCCCTTGTCCAGCACCGGCTTGGCTCTGGAATGTGGATGTGGGCCAGGACCCTCCTCCTGTGGGAGGTTCATCCTCTTGTTCTTCTGGGGACCGAACCCTTTCCCTTCCTCTGGGCCTTTGGCTTTCTGAACCGGGCATGGAGCTGCCACTGTTACGGGCTCACGTTCAGGGTCAGTAACACTGTGACTCTCTTTGCATGGGCCACCTGGGTCCCAGGCACTCACCCCCACAGACTTTTGGTCGCCTGGGAGTGTGGATGTGTGTCCCCAGTTCTGTAATACCCTGTGTGTGGTTCATGGACATTTTGAGGGTGGACCCTGGCACCGGACAGCTCCTAGTGGTCGCAAGGTCTCACCTGTTACGGATTCAGCTGATCTTTGAGAATCTGTGCCACTTTCCTAGAGGGGTTGAGCCGACATCTACACCCAGATTGTCCACCTGTGGCCAAGGAAAGGATTCAGATGTGTTTTTTTTTCACTGTCCTGTAGCCGCCTTTCGTTAATGCTTCCTCTTCCGCGTGTGACCCCCCAGGCCGGTGGAGGGAACGTGCCTGAACTCCGGCTCTGTGCCCCGAAGCTGGTGACACCACCTTCTCAACCCATCACTGCCCCCGTGGGGGTGTGCTCCCCAATTCTGCAAGTGGAACCAGGTCCCTGAGAGTGTCCAGGGTTGCTCTGAGGGCATACCGAATCCTAGTGACTTGGAGGCCTGGTTCTTACCTATGCCTGTCATTCCTGGTTCAAACGCATCCAAATGCCAGTGTTGAGGAGGGAACCTTCAGTTCCCAGGGGAGCGGGAGATCTGCATGCGTCCTCCTTGATGGGTGTCTCTGCCACAGCTGTTCTGTGATTTTTGTGGGGACCCTAGTGAGTTCCATTCTGGTGGATCAGGCTTCTGGAGGAAGGATGGCCCCCACATGGAGACAAAGGCAACCAACTTGTCCCCTGCACTGCTGGTACCCAGGAGGAAGATGCCAGCCATGGGAATCGTGGCCATATGGCCGGCGGGGTGCCTGTTTGGGAGCAGTCAGCCCGGCCCCTTTGAAGCAATTTTAAGACCAATTTGGTAACTTGATTTGGAAAGGGGTATCAGTGACTTCAGGGCGCGGGCTCATTAGCTGTCTTCTGGGCCCTGCAAATTGGGTTAAGTGGAATGAAATCGGCTTTTCCCCCTCTCTGGGCTCATGGCTGAGGTCCAAGCCCCATTGTAACGGGAACCTCTCCTGGGGAAGACACTGAAAAGCTTTCTGGGGAGTCTGGCGCTCTGTTTTCACATGTGAATTCTGCTTTCCCCTGGAGGGCAGGGCAGTAGGCTGATAAAAATGAACCTGGAGTGGGCCAGTGAGCAGGAAGGGGGTCGGTGTGAAGAGGATGAAGGCTGACTAGTTGAGGAGTGCTCCTCAAGCACTGGCTGTCCTTCTGTTGAGAGATGCTGTGCGTGATGCCTTTTCTGTTTCCCCCCCGCTGTGTGTGTGGGGGGTGGGGGGGAACTCCTTGAATTCCCTGGGGCACGTGTGAGCGCACCTAGGGTTTACACCCAGAGTTGACACTGCTGCCTGTGGGACATTCTCCATGTTACAGATGGTACCGAATTGCTTTCGAGAACAACCCCTCCAATTTACATTCCCACCCGCTGTGCCCCAGAGCCCTGTTTTCCCTACTTTGTCACCCACCTTTGCTACGTCAGATTTTTGCCATCATGCCAGTTTCGTCGGTGAGCCGCAGTTTCTGGGTGTTTCCTGGACGACCAGGAGGCGGACTGCCTGTCCTTGTGCACTGACCCAATGGAGAAGGGCTCCAGAGGCCGCCTGCATCCTTCCACCCCACCTGCCCACCCCACCCCCTGACTCCCAGGAAGATGGGCGGGGCTCATTCATTGCTTATCTGAAACGGTTCCCCTTCCCAGTTCAGTTTTGTTGCCAACAAGCATCTGTTTTGGACCCGCTGCTAAGCAGTTTTCTCTACCATTTAGGTGCAGAGAGGGCTGGAGCCGTGTGTGTGTGTGTGTGTGTGTGTGTGTGTGTGTGTGTGTGATCTTTCTCTCTTTCCTCCCCTCCCTTTTTGGGTCCCAGTTCCTCCCTCACTGTTACCCCCATCAACCTTCTCCTTATATATTCTGTCCTCCCCCGCCCCCACCGCTGGTCTTAATTGGCTTTGGCTCCCGTCCCAGACCGCAGCCTGGCACCCAGACCTGCTGTGCTATCGTAGCACCTCAGATGGTTAAACAAACAGAGGGTGGCATTTATTGAATGCCACGCACCCGCAAGTCTCTCCCCTCCTCGCCGGCTCCGTCCTCATCTTTCTCACCATTTGCAGCGTTGAGGGCTGTGGAGTTTCAGCCTCTTTTACGAAGCATCGCTCATTGCTGGCCTCTGAGTGTCGGGCCCCAGGGACCCGGAGGCCGGCGCTGGCTCTGGAGTTCCCCCGGCCTTACGGCCTTACGGTAAAAACGCATCACCCTGAATGCGGGCCAGCTGAGGCATCAGCCCAACTCCGCCCTGCCTGCCGAGCAGCTGGATCCTGCCCCCGAGCCTTAGTCACTGGCTGGAGACTCTCCCTGTTCAGGCTGAGTCCAACCCCTCCTCCCACTGCCCGGGTTCCTGGAAAAACTTCATCCGTGGGACGTGGACTTCTCCTCCTTCTTGAATCATTAGAGCTCTCATTTGTTGAACACTTATTAAGTGTCAGAGACTGCACTGAGCCCTTTATGGGCATCTGCTCATTTAATCCTCTTAATAATCTCTCGTGGCAGGTGTGCCTTTAATCTCCTTTTCACTGATGGAAATACCAGCTCAGCCAGGTGAATACTAACAATAGAAAGTGTCTCACCTTTATTAAGTGCTACTGTGTGCCAGGTACCTGGCTTAACTCCCAGGAACCCCGCGAAGGCATGCTGTTGCTATTAATATTATGCCCATTTCACAGACGGGGACACTGAGACCCGAGCATGTCTGGGTCCCCTGGCTCATGTGTGTGGTCTGCCTGTTGATCGCTCAGCTGCAGGGCTTTGCTGTGACGAGAGAAAATGCAAACAGAGTTTCCCAAGTGAGCAGGCCTGGCTGGTACCCTGACTCCAGAGCCTGGACTCTGCCTCCTGCTCCCCGCTGCCTCCAGGGGATGGACCCAGGGCTGGGCAGAGTTTCCCACTTTCCCAGACGGGCGTCAGGGAGAGGGCTGTGTGGTTGCCCAGCACACTCAGCAGATTTGCTCAAGGGACTCTTGGGAGAAGAGCAGGCCAGGGGTTGAGGGTGTGGCGGGGAGCCACTTAGGGGAGAGACTACTACAGATTGACCAGGGGAGGACTGACCTTCCATTCAAGGGGGCCTGGGCCCCCCCGCTTCCTGTCTTTGCATCCAGCCCAGGTTTGGGCTGCAGCTGTGGGACCAGGTCTGGTCCACGGACTCCTTGCAGCCCACACTCTCTCCCTCCCACCTCACTTCCCCAGTGACCAAGAGGAGCATCCCCCGCGGGGAAGTGGGATGGGAGGGTGGCTGACACAGCCCTTGCCCGCTCAGCAATTTTCCAGTTTATGAAGCATTTCAGATGTGATCTCATCCCATTCAGCAGTCACGTGGGGATTCAAGCCCCTGTCTACCAAAGGGGGCTCCACGGCTTCTGCAGAGAGAGCTCCTGCCTTTTCCACCCCACGGGGCTGCTCAATCATCCCAAGGCAAGGGGTTCCCCGCACAGACTTCCCAGGTTGGCGCAGGGGTAAATAACCTGCCTGCCAATGCAGCAGATGTGAGAGACACAGGATCAATCCCTGGGTCAGGAAGATCTGGAGGAAGAAATGGCAACCCACTCCAGTATTCTTGCTTGGAGAATCCCATGGACAGAGGAGCCTGGCTGGCTACAGTCCATGGGGTCTCAAAGAGTCAGACACAATTGCGTGACTGTGAACTGCGCTGTCCAGGGCTGTGGTCGTCATTCTACTTGAGTCCCAGCAGTGGCCTCTGGAGCAGGAAGCCCAGGCAAGGCCATTGGGTGGAGTTGATGCAGTCTTAGTATGAGCAGAAGGAAGATTGCCTCACCGTGTGGGGCTTGTGTCTCAGGAACCTCCGGAGGCCACAGAGTGGTCTTGAAACTAGAGCTGAATGCAGACTTCCAGGAGGAGAAATGAAGAGGCATGGAACAGAGTGGTGGGATAGCAACAGTGCCACCCCTGGGGGGCCATGTGCCTGGACTCCCCTCACTGTGTGGGTCCTCCACACAGCCCCCCACAAGGGGAGGGCTATTTGCCCCATTTTGCAGACTGGGAATTGCATCCAGGATTAACCTAGGGGGGCTGACCCCAAACCTCCCTTCTTCCCTCCCTGCTCTGCTCTTTAGAAAAACAAAACCAGAATTTCTTTCATGTCGCTCTAGTAAATTCAGTTTTTAAGAAATTAATTTCCTTCTCTGATGCCTGGCTTGTGACAGATCATAGATCAGAAGGCAGGTCTTGGGTCTTT